GCCTGGAAACCAGCTTTCCCCACACCGCAGCGAGCGAAAGCAGCAGCCACGCCCCTCCCCTCCCTCCCAGGGCCCGCTCGTTTCCACACTCGCCTGGGCCACGCCCGTCACTGTCCACCAGCTTGTCCACCTGTGTGCCCTCAAGGGGAAGCCACACGGGAGATTTTAGGTGGCCCTTGTGCACCACACACCACATCCCACCCTCAAGGAGCTCAGGGTGCCCCACGAGGCCAAGCGGGAAACAGGTCGGAGGGACAGAGGCCGGGGTGGGGGCCACAGCGCTGGGGGGGGCCTCCCGACAGGGGTCTGGGGGTTGGGGGGCTTTCCTAGGTCCACCGTCAGCGATCACGTCCTCTGCATGCCACCTTGTCACTTTCTACCTGGCCCTGGCCCCCTGCAGCCACCGAGGAAACAGCTGTCTGTCCACAGTGCCATCTCCGCCATTTGACTGTCACCTTCTGGAACCCTCTGAACGCCCTGGGGCCTCACCCAGGACACCCTGCACGGAAGCGCCTGTTGCAGGAAGGAACGAGAGTTTACACTCTCGGACGTCCTACAGATGTGCAATCTCACCACCACAGAGAACAGGATTTCAGAAATCCAGTGGCGCCCCCGTGAAGGACTGACTCTCAGGAGAGAGAGAGAGAGAGAGAGTGTGTGTGTGTGGAGGCTGCACAGAAACTCACGAAGCTCATGAAGATCTTCTCCGAGGGCTTGAGGTGCCTCCGGATCTCGCAGTCCTCGGGGTGGACGGCCACGATGCCGTCGTCGGCAAAGACGTAGAACATGTTCCCCACGCTGAGGCCTGGGAGGAGCAGACGAGTGGTCAGGCCCCGCCCCCAGGAGGGTCACATGCAACACGGAGCACAGGGGAAGGCAGCTGGTGCAAACACAGAACGCGTCTCCCGTCCGGGTGGAGCGAGGCTGAGCGAGCACCCGCAGCTGACGGGCGGGGAGGGACCCCGGGACCGGGAGCCAGCCCTGCAGACCCCAGGCTGCCCCCCCACACAGACGGCTGCCGCAAGTCACCTAGGGCAGCCACCAACGCAGGTTTGCAAATAAAAGGTGGCCTGGGCTTTGGCATATGTTTAACCTTTCCGGTTCTGAAAGAGAAAACCTCTCTCGAGTCATGCGTCGTCGACTACTCAAATCAGAATGGATCGGACGATGCCAAAAGAGCAAAGGCTCTTGTTTGCAAGAACACGTTTGTGTACAGTGTCACTCCCAGAGTGTGAGGCCCTAACCACGCTGTGACTGCTTCGCCCACACTCAGCCCTGGCCTGTCCGTGCCAGCCAGCCCCCCCATTCCGTACCCCCAGTGTCTCCGTGGCAGCCCCAGGCTGGGCGGCAGAGCCCACACCTGGTCCTGTCTGCCCCACCTGGCCCAGGCTGTGGCTCTCTGGTTAGATGATCTTCTTAGACTTGGGGACTGGATAGTTCAGCCTCCACAATTTAAAGACAGAGAAACTGAAGTCCAGGGAGGGGAAGGGGTTTGGCTGAGGTTATCTGTCTTGTGCCAGACCTGGGGTTAGACCCTGGGCCCTGCCTTTGGACCCCTGTCCCTCATTCTGTCCCTCCACAGCGGGGAAACAGGGCGCCTAGAGTTCCCCTTCCCTCATGCTTTGTCCCTCCGTCTCTCTCCTCATCCTCTCCATTCCTTCTCCCCTTCCTTCCTTCTCTCTTTCTCTTCCTCTCTTATTTTTTTTGAGATAGGGTCTTGCGCTGTTGCCCGGGCTAGAGTGTGGTGGCCTCATCACAGCAACCTCAAACTCCTGGGCTCAAGCAATTTCTCCTGCCTCAGCCTCCTGTTAGCTGAGACTACAGGCATGTGCCACCATGCCCAGCTAATTTTTTTTTCTATATATATTTTCAATTGGCCAATTAATTTCTTTCTATTTATAGTAGAGACAGGGTCTCCCTCTTGCTCAGGCTGCTTTCGAACTCCTGACCTCGAGCAATCCGTCTGCCTTGGCCTCCCAGAGTGCTAGGATTACAGGCGTGAGCCACCGTGCCCGGTCACCCTAGGCTTTAAACACGGAGATTTTGTGCTTAGCCTGCACCTACATGCTGCACCCCGATCCTTCCTGTGGCCCCCCGCGCTGAGAGCGAGTGACTTTAAGGGGACCTGGGCTCAGGTCTGGGAGGGGGGGTGAGGGGTTGTCACAGAATGAGGACAGGGACTCCATGACCCACACGTGCCTGTGGGTTTTTGAACCCTATGAAATTGTCACTATTAGACCATTTTGGACGTACCAAAATGGCGATTTCATAGGGCTCAACCTAATATCTGAAAATTTGTTGGATAAATGTATTTTTAAAAATCTACACATTTAAACATATACAGTTACGGAAATCACGGTAGCTTTCTTCCTTCTGCGATTCATCGATCAAGGCGCACCGGAAGCAGAGCCACCACCCCGTAGAAATCTACGGCTGTCTTTTAGGTCTTTACTAAGCTGCGCGTGACGAGCAAAGCACCGGCACTGATACACCAGCTGCTCGGAGAGAGCTCGGGGCCCAGCTCCAGCCAGAGCCCGGCCAGGGTCGACAAAGCACCGGCGCTGATACACCAGCTGCTCGGAGAGAGCTCGGGGCCCAGCTCCAGCCAGAGCCCGGCCAGGCTCTGCTCCATCTTCCAACGGAACTTTCCACGTTTACTTTTCCCGTCAGGGACGCTAGACGGTGGTTACTTCGATCCAGCCTTGTGCCCCCTAGTGCGACGTCACCCTCCCACCTCCCGTCCACGCGGGGACCGCCCAGCGTCTGGCAAAGACAGACGGCCCGTCTCGGAACCACGGACACGCTCGTCCCTCCACCCCCTGCTCTGCGCCAGCAGAAAGCATTCCTTTTCAGTAGAATGGAGGGCTCTTCCCCTCATCCCCACATTGTACTCTATGTACTTTCGAAAAGGGTCTGGGAGAGCCCGTGTCAGCATACCTGGATGTTGGCCTGAGGGAAACACGCACACCTTTGGGAGTGGGGGAGGAGGGCTCGTCCACAGATGGGACAATCGCATTTTCCTAGAGTCACTGGAAGCTCGTGTTGTTCAATAAAAGAAAGCATCCCAGGCCGGGCGCGGGTGGCTCAGCCTCGTGATCCTAGCATCTGGGAGGCCAAGACGGAGCGGATTGCTCGAGGTCAAGGAGTTCGAAGACCAGCCTGAGCGAGACCCCGTCTCTACTACAAATAGAAAGAAATTAATTGACCAACTAAAAAATATATATATAAAAAATTAGCGGGATGGTGGCGCATGCCTGTAGTCCAGCCTACTCGGAGGCCGAGGCAGGAGGATTGCTTGAGCCCAGGAGTTTGAGGTTGCTGTGAGCTAGGCTGAGCCACGGCACTCACTCTAGCCTGGACAACAGAGTGAGACTCTGTCTCAAAAGAAAAAAAAGAAAGCATCCCCAGTACTTTGGAAGGTCTTTCTTGGGACCAGAGTGCAGAAAAATTGACCTTACGAAGCAGGCGGCGCTGGCCTGGGTCCTGGGACCCGCAAGGCGGGAGAGCTCCAGCGCCCGTGCGTGGCGCAGGCAGAGGGCAAGAGAAAAGCTCGCGGCGTC